GTGATCTCCTGCCGTTCTGTTGGCATAAGGGTAAATCCTCCCAGACTCCCTGTGGGGGGACTCTTGTTGCTGCACCGGATTCATTGATTCAACCTTTTTGTGTCCAGCAGGACCATACTGGTCTCTTTCTGAAACTGTTCAAGACTAAGAGGGTTGCTGTAGCTTGGTGTCAAGTTACTCAGCACCGCCAAGCTTTGATCATTTCGGTCTATGCACAAACAGGTGCTTCCCAGGACACAAAAGTGCATGAGTGGAACAACTCTTTGTTTGATGACATTTTCACTTTCGTTGCGCAATTTGGCCAAATCCCTATCATTATCGCAGGGGACCTGCAAGCCCCACCCTTGTCTTATCCAGTCATCTCAAATGCCATCAATTTCCAATCATGGCATGACCCAATTGCGAATACTGATGAACAAGGTGAGGTCTCTCGACCCTTAACTTTCTCAAATGATGGGCTTTTCTCCGGACCTGGAGACAGTTGCACGTCGATCGATGCTATGTTGGTCAATGACACCGCTTTTGCAGCTTTACATAGTGCCACTGTGCTTGAACATTTTGGACGTCAGCATCGACCAATCCAACTTGTTTTTGAATGGCCATCGCTTGATCAAAAGGGTTTTGTTCACTTCAAGACCGCTGCATTTGACTTGTCTAGCATGCATGGTGAAACAAGTTCTGGTAACGATTTGCCGGACTGGAGCCGTGACTTTGAGGCCAACTTTACTAGTGCCACTACTTCAGATGCTAAGTGGGACATTGTCAACGACTTTCTTCAATCTTCCATTTTGGCCAAAGGGGCTTTGTGGGGGGATGGTCCCAAAAAGCGAGCTGCCACTCCTGTTTTCTCCCACAAGACGATCGCCCCCAAACAATTGCTGTCTAGGTGTGCTGCCACCGCTAAGACCTCGCGTCTCGCCAAACTTGTTGGTCGTCTCCAAGAGCTTTTTACGAGGCTTTCTAGGTGGGAAGGATCTGGTGAAGATCAGTTTATCACACGCCGCACCGCCATAAAAGCCTTTTGGGCCCTTCGTGACCTGAACGCACCTGTTGGATGGTCCAATCCCGCTTTCCCCAAGCTTGTGGAGGTCCATTTTGCAAAGCGGTGGGCTGAACAGATGTTGATGACTTGCGATGCTTCCATCCGGCTCCAGAGAATCCAGAGTTGGAAGAAACGCATCCGTGAGTCTGCCAACTCTAACTGTTCGTACATTTTTAGCCATCTTCGAAATAAACAGCAGGATGAACCGCCCAACTTGGTCGTTGATGACGACAATAATGTGATCTTTCAGCCTGAGGCTGCCCTTGCTCATCGCAACTCTGCGTGGGATTCCGTTTTTGGTGTCAACACCTTATGCGAACATCCCCTAAAGATGTTAGAAGTTGTGTGGCCTTACATCAAAGATCAGCATTCCAAGGTTGAGCTTCCCCCGGTCACTGCAAACGACTTGCATCATATCATCCAGCATAGGAAGACCAATGCTGCTCCAGGCTTGGATGGATGGCGAACATGTGAACTCAAAACATTCAGCATTTCTGAGCTGGAACCAGTTGCTTCCTTCTTTCAACTTGTTGAACAAACTGACCTGCCTCTCCCCAGAGCACTTGTTTGTGCCAAGCAAGTCATCCTTAATAAGCCGGGCCCTGCTACCCCAATGAACAAGAGGCTCATAACCATTCTGCCAGCATTACTTCTCGCTTATACTGGCAGCCGCTTTGCGCAGCTTCATGCATGGCAACGGCAAGTCATGCCTGAGTCGGTGCTGGGCGGCATCAAGGGCCGCCACATGGCCTCCTTGTACAATGACATTCGCCTGCACATTGATTGCGCGAAGCTTGATCAGGTGACTTTGGTCGGCATAAAGCTAGACAAGGCGAAGGCTTTTGACCGTATCATTCCATCTTTCGCTGCCGCTTTGTTTTTAGCTTTTGGTCTTCCGCAGGGGCTCGTAAATGTCTTCCTTAAGCAGTACAACGGCCTCCACAAACATCTTTCCTATAGGAGATGGATTTGCCCACAATCCACTCATGGGGCTAACGGTGTTGCACAGGGCTGTTCATTGTCGCTTCTTGCGATGAACGCCTACAACAAAGTCTGGTGTCACCTTCTGGACCATTTGCCTGAGGTTTACGTGCGAGCATTCATTGACGATGCATACCTTTGGTCCAAATTGGAGCACTGTGAATACCTTCAGAAGGCTCTCGAAGTGACTAAAGTGTGGGATCAATTGGTGGGTCAGCAGCTTAATGAAGGTAAATCCTCCATGTGGGCAACTTCATCTAAAGGTCGTAAGCTTGCCAAGAAATTCTTCCCGCAGCTCCCAATTCGCTTGGAAGTTGAAGTATTAGGTACCATGATGTACACATCTGAGCGAGATGCGTTCCATTTTGATGATAAAAGATTGCGAAAGGTTTTGGATGACACAGACAATATTGCTGCTTTGCCGGTCTCCCATAAAACCAGGGTCTTCTTGATTGGCTCCAAAATTTTGCCGCAAATTTCTTTTGGTGCCCACATTTCTAAGATCCCTCAGCAAGCTCTTAATTCTATTCAGAACGCAATTGCACGTGCTTTGTGGGTTGGGAGGCCTAAGTGGAGATCCCGCCAACTCCTTCAGGCTGTTCTTTCTCAGCCCCATCGCACTGATCCTCGGATTGCGTGCGCATATAACACCATTTTGGAGTGCATTCGTATGTGTCACACGTTGCCGTCCACTTTTTCCATGCTTTTGCGTACATGGAAGAATGATTTTGGTGAACATTCTCTTGCTGCGAAGCTCCAGGGAGCTGCCACTGTTCTTGGCATGCGAATTGACCACGAGCTTAACATGTCTTATTGTGGTTCCACTCCGGTCTCGATCCGAGCAGTGTCAACCACCGACGCCAGTAAGGTCCTCCAAAATTTGGCTAGACAAGCTTGTTATCAGCAAGCATTTGGGAAGAAGCGGAAAGACTTAGTGCCTTCCTCAAAGATTTTCGACTTTCAGCAAACTACCTTTCTACTTAAGAGGTCGCCGTTACAGGCTGAGTCGGATGGTGTCTTGCTTCGGTCTCGACTTGAATCCGTTTTAGTTGGGTGCACCCTTACGAATGATAGACTTGCTGGGTCTGGCTGGACGGACTCCGCCCTTTGTCGCTTCTGCTGCCAGGAAAAAGAAGACATGCACCACTTGGTCCATGATTGTGAGCACCTTCACAACCTGGTTGGGTCTCCGATCCATCATGAACTTGGAGAAAATTTTTTGCTGCTGGGCCATATCGCCCATCCGAAGTTTGTCGCCCGCCGTCGTCTTCAGTTCGCTTTCGCTGCTGACCTGGAGCTTGCGGAGACATTTGATCCCATGTGCTTGAAGCGCCTTTGGACGGATGGCTCCCTTGTGTTGGGCGAATCATTTTGGCTTGCCACGGCAACCTATGCAATTGTTGATGAGCAGGTCACTATCATCAAAAAAGGCCTCATCAGCCATTGGGCTATTTCAGCCTACGCTGCAGAGTTGTGGCCAGTTGTCATCGCCTGTGTCACTGCCTCTACCAAGGTTGTCATATTTTCTGATTGCTTGAACGTGGTTGTACATGCGCAGCATTTATTTTCGGGAGGTTTCGCCGATCCAACGTGGAGTTGTTTTGAATGGTGGCAAGCTTTACAGAATGTTGTTCAGCTTCGCTTGCGAGAGACTGCTACCCCCTTTTGGATTGAATGGATCCCTGCTCACAAACTTGAGCACATTCCGGACTACCTCCTGTCAGATGAGCTGGCCGCCCTCCACAATACCACTGTGGAACATATTGTCTGCAATCGAAAGTGTGACTTGGCTGCTAAGGAACTAGCTCAAAGCTTGAGCCCCGTGACACAGGACATGTTCAACCAGATGTCTAAAGCCGTTGACCTCCATCAGCGATGGCTAATTGCACTACATGCCCGCATGCCCACAACCGAATCCAGTGCGGATTCAGTTCATGTTGCTGCTGAAGGCAATGATGTTGCTCCGACACCTGAACTATGCAAAATGCGCTTCCCACACTGGCATTGGGGACTGCCTCGGAAATTCTTCCCCTGGCGACCCAAAATTCCAAAGAATTTGCCTTCTCCTCCCACATGGAAGGCGTCTTCAGAAGATTGGGCTTCGATATGTGCTTTTCTTTCTGGTTTACATTGGCAAGTCGATGGCTCACAGAGTTTTTCATTTTGTGAGTTGGCCGTACTTTACCATCAGGCCGGCTACCAGATCACTGGAGACCAGGAACTTTGCACTTTTTATGATATCTACAAACTGGTACGGGAATGTATCCTGCAGCTTTCAAGGTTGGCAAACGTCGATGCTGTGCCAGGCCAGTTCAGTTCCACGAAACCACGTTCGTGCGGACGTGTCCTTCCGCAAGGTTGTATAGATGGGGCCATCCCTTTCCATTCGGATGAGGCCCGTGTAAAGATTGCTTCTGCCTTTGCTAAAGGTGCTGGCAGACAAATCGAGTCTTGGCGACTCTGCATTTGTGACTTCTGACTTTCTTGGGGTTTTCACTTTAGATTGCTCGATCTGTGGTCGAGTAATCCACTCAGTCCACGTCTCACTGGACCCGTGAGTGTGCGCGATCGTATTGGCTGTTATGTTTTCAATAAAAGGGATGAGACTCCTTGAGAAGGCGATGGAAAAAATAGATGGTTAGTAGGTATGGTTTTTGAGGAATGAATGAGGTAATAGATGGTTAGTAGTGATGATTTTGTGGAATGAATGAGATAGTTATGTATTCACTGTAATGATTTTGAAAAATGAATGAGGTACCAGATGGTTAGTAGTTATGATGTTGAAACATGAATGAGGTTATATGTGATAGTTTGTTGTGTTTTTTTGGTGAATAATTGTCGAGTTTTTATACTGCGAAAATTTGAGTTTAGAAAACTTCTTTGAAGTAACGTTTTTAACATGTTTTCCCCCGCCAGAGCGGGCTTCCGCAGCCCTCCTGACCACCGAGTCTCACCGTGTGGCCTCGGCGCAAAAGAGGCGGGAGAACATGCTCAATGGCTTCGTGCAGCCGGGCAGTGTGACGATCACCTCGCAGGAGCTCCTGAGCCAAGTGCCTCGGAGCGGCGCACGGCGTCGGACGGCATGAAGTTGATGGAGCCGAAGGCATCCTTAGGTCCTAAACCGCTCGAGCCGGCCTAGCAGCTACCCAGCAAGAGTTGGATAAGCAGCAAAAGAGCTTTGTGCGGGGATTGATAGATGGAATTTTCACCAGGCCATGGGTCACCCATGGCCTGTTTGTGTAAGGAGTTGCTGTGTTCTGGGACCGTTTTGGAACTAGCAACGTCTTGGACGCGTCGATGTTCCAGTCCTAACTCAGGGAGTCAGAAGACATTGGGCGGCGCATTCATCGGGGCGTTGAGCTGGGCAACATGAAGCTCTGGTACACCCCGGGGGAATTCACATGGAACCTGACAATGGAGCTTTAACATTTGGAAGACGATTTTCCTCTACAACCCCAGTGGTTTTCAGGTTCCATGTGGACCTCTTCCCTTGTACTGACAGATGTCGGGGGCACCAGGAAGATTGAACTTGCAGCTGTGAGGGGAGCTCGCTGGTGTGAGGGTGACAGAACTAGCGATTCCTCGACGTGGCAGGTGACAGTACCAACCAGGAACTACCATCAACCGTCACGCAAATCAATGACCCTCGCAGTGAGAAGATAACCATGTGTCACTATGGCCTTATATTTCCCAAGTTGTTTTGGCACTGGCCATGTGACTTGTATTCGGTTAGGGGGAACTTTTCAGAGACACTCCTGCCAAAAACTAGCAGCTAGAGCCAAAAGGGGACATAGACTAAGAACATACTAAAACCCATTTAGGAGGAGGAGCCTAAAACACACATCCTGGAGGTTCATGGAAGATGATGGAACCACATGGGAAATCTAAGACTCCAATCAATAGGACAATAGGAAACTAGTCATTACTTTGGGATTTGATCAATAGATAGATACAATCATCCTAGGATTATCATCCTATAATAGGATGGAATTTCTATCATCCTAGTCATTATTCTATCTACTCCAGGATGATTGTATCCTCCTGCTGGTTCCGTGTCCTTTTAGGCTGTGGTGCAGCACTATGAAGGCTGGCTTTGGAGGGGTGTGAGGGAGGGTCTGGGACCGGGTGGGGTGGTAGCTTTGTAGGACAACCATCCTGGTCAAGATTGCAAGGATCAATTACACGACACACACACAGGGCTACCTACATTGACCCTTAAAAAATCTTAAAGCCACCCTTCGATGTCGTATTATGTAACCATCGCACTGGTTGACCTGAAGTCAATGTATTCCACAACCATACATGGAGTCATTTGGATACTTCCGTGCACTGGGATAAGCTCAGGCGGCATCTACGACTCTGTCCTACCATTGCTGCCCTGCTTCGCGCAGCAGCTGTCGCGGATGGAATCTTGGGCAGGTTTTAGAGGCCTACAGCACCAAGTGCAGCCAGCTAACAGAACTGAAAGACTTCTTCGTGATGACTCCACACCCTGCCAACCAATCACAAACTTGAAGACTTCAACATCCCCAAAAGAACCATCAGCAACAAAACTTGAAGGACACAGCACCAACCAGTCACCGAAAAGAAGCCAACCAACATCAACCAACCACATGAATAATACAGAGCATGACGGTTTACCGGGCCAACAACAGAAAAAACTTGAAGGAAGGCACCAAAGCTGGTATTTAATTGGTATTAGGAAGGATCTGTATTTGTTTGGTGTGGTTCCACCATGTTGCACCCAATCCTCCAGCATGGGCAATTTCTTCATTTTGCCTTCTTGAGTGTGATGGACTATAGGTATCCTGATCATCCTGACCCAAACAAAGCCCCACCACACCTTTGGTCCGAGGAGTTCTTCTTCCGCCTCTCGCGCTATGCCACGGCGGGAAATCTCTTGGTGCTCCGGAACCTGGGTCAAGGCGGGCACAACCACGACGCTTGGGCACAACCCACTGGCAGGTTAGCGACCTATGGTTGGTGATCCAGCACAGGTTGGCGCCAACACACAGGTGCTGGCACGCAAACGCGGGCCATTGAGAGAATGACTCGAACACCTGTAGACTGTATGGCCCAGTCTCAGTTGATGCCTGTGAGAACAACCTAAGGAGGGAGGTCTTTGGTCTCGACGATTCCAGAAACATACTCCGCTGCAGATTAACATGAACCCCAGAATCCATGTTCATAATACCACTATACTCTTCAGTGTTGAAACCATTATGGTATTTGGATTTCTGAGAAAAACCTGCAGATTAACATGAACCCCAGAATCCATGTTCATCTGCGGGGGGTAACAAAATGGAAGATCTTGAATCCTCGGAAAAGGCTCTCCAACCTCCGAAGTTCAGAAATGCGTCGATCGTCGAATCATTGTGTTGCTCCCGCACAACTCGGGAGCTGCATGGAGCTGCATACCGTCAAACCAGTTCGTTGAAGTCTTCCAAAAACCAGGTTGGTGGTCTCGGATTCGGATGCTGATCTTCAAACCTTTTACTTAGAGATGATTGGGACGCCGCGTCCGACTCATGTTTCGAACGGTTCAGATTTCGATTCGGGATGGTGCCATCTACCTTGAAACCACCAAATGAGGAGTTCTACTTGGAGGACGGCTTTGAGCCAATGGTCGAACTATGCCATGGCCAAGATGGAGGTCGGCGGTTTTTTGGTGGAGTCAGGACTGGCCGGCTTGCCATGGATGGATCGGGTGAGTTTTTAAGACCCACAGCGCAGCGCGGCCAAGCGCATGGGATGTTCGAAACCAGCAACACAAAGGTGGAGCGGCCGGATTGGCTTCATGAGATGGTTTTTTGGTGTTTGAGGGCACCGCTGCTGAACGACCTTTGTTTCGCACCCGATGGGCAGACGACGGGCTGGTCCTGCGCGAGAATGAAACGGCAGAACCCCTACAGGTCTGTCAAGGACCCCTACAGGTCTGTAGTCTGTACTCAATGAGAACAGCCGGACCAGGTTGAACTGGGTCCAAGTCAGGACTTGTGTAGAGGACCTGTGTTTTAAGAGAAGGCTCAAAAATCCTAACTCAGGATCAATTGAATAGGCTCTACCATGGTTGACCCGGTTTTGTTGTGCAAAGGCTGTAAGATTTATGTACATATATATATATATACCCTAGAAGTCCAAAGACTATTTTCGACACCACCCCAGTAAAGGAAGTTCCTGAACTCGGATCACCTCAAGACTGTTTTAAACATGGTCGACTGGACTCCCAGGGTATATAGCCTTTGCACGACCAAAACCGGGTTAATGGTTGACCCCATGTCTTTCAAGGCCGAACGGAAGTCTAGAGCATGGCAGGTGTCTTATGCAGGAGCACGACAGGTCTGACAGCGCCGGTTTGGCGTTGTATTTGTCGTGACCATTTGAAGCCAGTTTGAGGTATGTGCTGTGTCAGGGACTGCCATGACCGCCATGCATTGGGTATCCTTCAAGGTCAAGGATTGCTTAGACAGCACGTGACAGCATCCTCATTTGTTGTGGTTTTTGTGCCTGACACAGCCATCCAAGCATATCCAAGCGGAAGACGTGACTTATCATGATCTGCACGAGGTTGTGGCTTCATGCAGAAGCATTCCTCCTGTCTGCATGCCAGAACAACCATGTGGATCCTTCAAATTGGCATGCGAACGTTTAGAATACAATTCTGCACAGACCATGGTGAAGAGGGGGTGAGTCCTGTCATAATTGTTTATTTTTTCTCAATTTCTGTCGTTGTTTGGGGTAGTTGTGCTTCAAATTGAAAGTTTCCAACTTTCCATTTGCTTTGCACAGCAAGCGTTTTTTCGAAAGAAGTGAGAAAACACCGCGCTGAGATAGGCAAACCTCAAACAACACCACGCAAGCCCTAGGCCTCTAGTTGCACCTTCGTTTCGTTTAGACTGGGGTGGGTGCCATTGTCGGGTCCAGTCATGCCGAACCTGAGGAGGTACGACTGGAGGTGTAGGGTTATGAAGTGCTTTTGGGCTTACGCTAGGTTCAACAAAAACTTCAACAAAACAAGCAAGAACAAATGCCAAACCAACCCAAAGGAAGAACGCAACATAAGTGTAAACCCTGGGAGTCCAAGACCATGTTTTTTTTTAGGTCTTGGTGATCCGAGTTCAGGAACTTCCTTTACTTGGGTGGTGCCAAAATCTTTGGACTTCTAAGGGTAGGTGTTGGAACACAGTCTACCCAATCCCGCCGGGAGGGTTCAAGCGAGCTTGGCAGGTCGGAACGCCAGCTCGACCTCCTGGCAGTGCAGTGACCGGGTGGTGCGCGTGAACTACACGGGGAGTCTCGGTGTGGATTCTGCGCTTGGGCAGTGATTCTGCGGAGCCTCCTGTTTTGGGGGGCATGGGGAGAGTCGGAGAGTCGGAGAGTCGTGTAGGGTGGTCCCAGCCTGGACGTCCTGACAGGATGGTCCTGAGAAAGTTCGGACATACCCCGTACTCTAGGTAATTATTCCAGGGGGTACCGTCAGTTGGTGGAATAATTTTTCTGGAATAATTTTCCAGGAATAATTTTCTTGCCTAGGTATGGGGGGGGGTGGTACCTGATGGTGTGTCAGAATAATTACCACATAGAGGCTTGGCAATGTATTGTATATAGATGTATATAGAGATTACTGGACGCTGAGGAGGAAGTGCTTTGGATTTGATGACTTTTGTACATTTTGTTGTAACTTGCTGCTCAAGTGAAGCAGTATCTGTGATAGTGTGCTTTTCGTGCGACAATGGTGACACCTCCTGCAAAACCGCCGCCGGATGACTGTCATGTCAGCCACTGTAGCTCGGACTCATATGTGATCATGAGAGGAGGGAGGCAGGGATGCAAATGAATAGTGGGGGAATCTGAAGGATACAGAGGACAAGTGCAAGACTTCTTGAAGGTTTTTGAAGCTTTTGGGAGCGATAACAAAAGCGCACCAAGAAAAGAACTAAACCAAATATGAACCTTTGTAGATCTTTGTGGTCAGAGTCTGTTTTGCAGGAGCGTGCAGGAGATTGCTCGTGACTGCTGGAAAGAAAGCTCAACCTAGGGATACACATGGTGCCAACTGAGGTAGTGGCAAAATGCAGGCGCCCGTGTGGAACAATAAATATGGACGTTGGGGTTTCTGTATGTGATCCTTGGAAAAAATTGCGAATCATTTGACAATTGATCCTTGAGATCAGAAGATTTCAGAATCAGATGTAGAAGCAATATGAAGCAATTGGTTTTTATATTTTAATCTCTCAGGACACGGATCATGTTTTGGAGTTGTGCCAGCCCATTGCCTGGTTTTTGCAGACTGAAGGACAATGACGGATTTACAGCCACGGGTACGAGGAGAGCTTCCCATCATTGTTGCATCTACGATCGCACTACTCAGAAGTGGATTGTCAGTGTTCGGCTCTCCAACACAATGGCAAACAAGCCGCGGCAGGAGATTGTTTCAAACAGTTTGCGAAAGTTGGGTCAAGAATCAAGAATGATTTTGCTTTTACAAGGTATATATATAAAAGAAAGCAACGACCAGCCGATGAAATTATACCAGCACTTTCTGGGACCCTGTATACCAGTGGAATAATTCTTTCGGCTTGCACACAGAGTCATGAAACCCCTCAGGATGATGATGCTGCTGATCCAACGGAGCCTTTGCAACCGCTGAGAGATGTTCCTGCTGCAGAGGACCCATAGGGGCAACATGGGGCAACCGTGTTTTATCGTGTTTTTTGATGTCAGGAGGTATCAATATGGTTCATGTGTTCATTTTTTATGCCCTTGTAGGTCCATGTGCTACCTTTTAATACTTATTATATATATTCAATCTTGATCAATTCTGGTGAGGCCGTGCCGCGTGTTGATGCTTCCACGGCGCCATTGCCAGCAGCCGACACGGGCGCGTCAAGAGCCACTTTGAAGCCGCAGGAGACTCTGATGAGACAAGTGGTGAAACATGATGAAACATTGTATGTATTAGCGTGTTTTAATGTGTTTTAGAACCTAATTTGGCTATTACAGGGTATAAATGGAAGCAACAACCAGCCGATGAAATTATACCACCACTTTCTGGGAGCCTGTATACCTGTGGAATAATTCTTTCGGCTTGAACATGACACACAGAGTCATGAAACCCCTTCAGGATGATGGTGCTGCTGCTCCAACGGGGCCTTCTGAACAGCTGAGAGATGTTCCTGCTGCAGACGAATCAACTGCCACTAGCGAGCACTATGTGAAGAAGGCCAAATGCGAGGC